TTTCATACTTCCAAGTGCTTTTTATATAAAATAACACCCCACCAGTATGACGACTACTTGAATCAGTTCGAATTATGTTATAATTATTAAGGTGAATCAGAGTATCACCATCTTCATTAATCAAATGTGTTTCTGAAAGCGTTATAAATTCAAATTCGTGACCATATGCTATCTCTTCCAATTCAGTAAAATTATTGATTGCACCTTGTATATTTAAACATAAACATTTAAAAGTACCATTATCTTTTCTTATATTATCATCTATTAATTGCTAGAATATTTTTTTTATTTCTATGTCAACCTTTTTTTTATATACATTGCAGTTAAAATCAAAGGCACTGTAATTAATATTTAAATTCATATTCATATCTCTATTCACACGCACACAATTGCAACATTTTTTCTCTTTATTATTACATTCATGCCCAATGCTATATTCCTGCGCACAGTCACCTCAAATTTTTCTTACAGAAGTACATTTCAAAATATCATGTCCATAACCCAAACATTTAAAACATCTCTTAATATACAGACCATCAAATATCTTACATACATCCCATCCCACTTTAACCTTGCCTACATTCATTACTTTATTATAAGATTCTATATCTATTTCTACAATAGCAACATATGGATTAAATTTATACTTGTTTTTAAATAAGGCTTTCATACTTATATCACTATTTTTCAACACCTCATTTTGCATTTTCAATTTTCTAACTAAATCTTCCTCTTCTATCTCATCAGATATGCCTACAATTTTTATTCTAGGTTTTCTACCACTGGCAATTTTTATTTCATATGCATCTTTCAATTTCTCTTTAGCTACAGACTTTAATTTACTCACAGTTTCATTACATGTGAAAATGCAACTACTACAGCTCCATTTTTCGCATTCTCAATACTAGACACAGATAAATTATTTTCTACAATATCAATACTCTGCCTAATATCGTCTTTGGTTTGCTTATTATTTTGTTTTTGTTTTGGCTTAATTATAATATTCGAACATTTTTTTGTTATTTCTGCATAAGAAGGCTTAAGCGAGTTAATGCATACTTGCTTAACTCGTTCGATCATTTCATTAGAACATTCATTATTATTACTACTCTTTAGTATTTCATTAAAAGATTCTCTTTGCTTATCAAAACCATGTTTTAATTCACCAATGCTCTCCTCTATTGCAGCAATATGTAGTTCAATTATTCTTATTTTATTATTTCTGTCCTTACAATCATTACACATTAATACAACATACTTGTTAGTATTTAATAAATTGATATCATATGCTGCTAAACCCACACATTTAACATGAAATGATAAACCGCATCCACCTTTACACAATATAGACTCGGGTTTCGATCGTGAAAAAGTTTTATTACATATTATACAATTTTCTCTCATTATAAATATACATTCAAAAATTTTCGAAGTTAGAGAATCAAGCTGTATTGTCTTTCTCCAAATACAAAATAAATTTAAAAATGGAGTGTGCAAAATCGAAGAAACAAAATTTTATTTTTACTTTTTTACCTTCTCAAAACAGGTTTCAAATGTTGTTCTATTCAATTGTTTCTATTCTAAATGTTTCAATTTCTACCTAATCACTTTAGAATAAAATTTCTTCTTAATTCAGTACATCAAAACGTGCCGCTGATTTTATATTGATTTATTTTAGTATTAATATTTTTTTTTCCAGACCAATCTTATTCAGTTCAAAAATTTATTTAATTTATTTCATAAATTGTATTCAACTTTGGTTATCACAATGAATTGTTGTTGCAGTTTTTAGTTGAAAACCAATATCTTTGAGAAGTTGGCGTAAAAATTAAGTTTCTTTTGTAGTTTCTGAGGCAGGGAGACAGTTTTTTGTTTTTGTATTTTTCTTGTTATAGGACCTCCACACATCATTAATGCATATCCTGAGAACGATTTTCTATCGCTTGGATCACTTGCCCAATCAGAATCATTAAGATTAAAGTTTACTTTTAAATCCTCGATGCACTAATGTTATTAGTGTATCACTAATATTACACTAATGATGTTACTGATTTTTAACAACTACAACACAACGTGTAATTGTTTATCTTTATTATTAATTTCATATGAGAATAACTAATAGAAATTCCATCATACAACTTTAGAATAGATGGATCACATAATCAAAGAATTCAAGGCAGAAAAATTAAAAAGTGATTGATTTATTAGCAAAACAAAAATAAGCGAAACATACATATGTATGTAAATAATTTAAAATAAATTTAGGGAAAAGTAAACCACTTAAATTAAAGATAAAATGAATAATAATTTAAAATTAAATTAGTTTTCAATGAATTTGTTTACAGATATAGAGCTGCTACCATTTTGATCTGTCTCATCGAGTCAAGAATAAATCAAAGAAGGAAATCAAAAAAGAAAAGAAAAAGGAAAAACAAAATATGGGTAAAACTATCTTTGAGCAAAAACTCCTTATTCGACGTTGAAACTAAATTTCTCTTTAACCTGCTAGCTGTGCTTTAAAAATTTTACCAGCATGATACATTTGAATGACCACATAGTCTGGTATTTTAAGTTATTATCCATTCATTTTCCGTTTCATTTGTTATTCCGAATTTCTTTCTTAATGCTTTTGTGTTATTTTACAGATTTTTATAATCTTTTGAATAAATTGATGTAAAAAATTGAATTAAATTGTCGCCTACTAATATTTGTTTTGAGGCATTTTTAATATAAATTTTCAAAAATTTTATAAAAAATAAATTTTAAAATAGGGTGCAAGAACATTCATACTAAACTTCGCTGATTACAACTAACTAACCGATTGAACACAATTAGCTAATCACAACGCACATAACAAGTAAAATTTATTTTCGGCATTTTATTTTTTTATTTCTTTCGAAAAAGTTTAAGTGAAAAATTGGACAAGACTTTATTTTTCTCATTTGATTTCGCTTGATTTGATTGGACATTTACATATCAAATTTTCATTGTAACATATCGAAATTTCTAGGTAAGTGTAAACTTCGTTTGACATTCGATTTGATCTAAAGGAAGCACGGCTGAAAGAAAAACAGGCTTAGACTCTAAGAAAGCGACAGTTCACAGCTAACGAATTTAAACGTATTTTTATGGGATCTATAGAGGGCTCTTTTTAACATCACAAAACTGCCAGAAGATCAACTTTTTTCAAGTTTTTAATTAGAAAAAGTTAAAATTCAGTCTTTTTCTACTTCACTAATGTTTACATTCTTAAATTTTTTAATGTTTTAATTAAAAGAATGATTTTAAAAAAAACCCTCCAGGTTCCGTTTATTTTTTTTAGATTTCAATAAATGCTACAATACAGGAAAAAAAAATAGTGCAATTTTTTTTTTTCGAAGTATTTAGTTGATTTTGCTGTTTTTTTTTCAAATTTGAGAAAATGCACATTTAATATTAATGAGTTTGCTAATTTTGTATGATATGTTTCCCAAAATGCATACTTCTGATATAATCACATATAAATTATCTATATATTTTTCATTTGTATATTATATTAATTAAATTCATATGCTTCAAAATTCATACAAATTATAGCATACATATGTGAATTCTTTTTATATTTAAAGTCATATAATTCTTTTTAGGTATGTATGTGATTTTAATTTTATTAGGAAATATTTTCACATTGTTAGTAAGGCTAATTCACTGAATTACCTAAACTACTGCATCAGAAACTTTGAAACTTGTTTAAGTTTCTTTATGATATTTCTATTATGTTTGTGTATATGTAGGGGACAACTTCAAACGCCGCATCTTTTATAATGATTATAAAATTTTAAAAGTACTTTCTTAATTATAAAACTTAAAACCAAATAATTACAAACTTAAATTTTAAATTTAAATCTAATAAAATTTTTATAAACTTTATTTTAAGTTGTGTATCTACACAAAAAAATATAGCCCCAAATTTCTTTTATTCGCTGTATTATCAGTTTTTGCTCTCAATTCTCTTTGATATGTTGCCTGACATGGCGGTACAAAAAAATGCGGAAAAAACTCGAAAATATATTTAATCAAAATTATAGTTAAAATTTTGAATTGAAATTTAAATTTTTGATATGTTATTCAGAATTTAAATTTTTGATATGTTATTCAGAAAACTCCAAATTTCATTTTAATATAAAATTTTTAGGTTTCAGTCAACTTTTCGTATAGAAAACTCGAAATGAAAATAGGCAAAAATCGTAATTTTTCCAAAAAAAAAACAACAAAAAAAGAATGATTCTTCAGAAATGTCATTTCGCCTAAAATTCATATCGCTGGCTGTTATACCACGTAAGTGCAAATATTTCCAAAACTACTTTACCAATTTTCTGTTTAGGAAATGTTTTAAATTTATGAAAATATGAAAATTATTTAAAGAATATGTAATTATTTATTAGTTTTTACTGTTTCGTAAATTTTAAAGATGGACTGTTTGAGATTTCATAAACAGAAAATTGATAGGGTACTTTTGGAAATATTTGCACTTACGTGGTATTACAGGTTTGCCAGCGATATGCAATTTACAAATGCATCCACAAAAAAGTAGGTTCTGGTGTAATATAAATATAAAAGTGTAATGGTAGTATATAATTGAAATTTTTCTATTCGCACCAGATTTGCCTCAGATTTTGTAAAAGTCAATTTGTTGCAAGTTTTTGAAAAGCCCTGTGGGGTGATTTTTATATTGGTTCTAATTTTATATAAAGTTATTGTTGAATTTTGACATACAGTCTCAGTGATATTACAAGCAAGTACTTTTTTCCCCCAATAAATTTCTGCCTGATGACATTTATTCTTAAACGCTAAGCTATCCAGTATATTGTGTAAATTTTTAGACCATGGTGCAGCCCTTAAAAAAATATTAAAGAATTTGACAGCGACAAAAACATATATGTATATACTTAAAACAAAACATATTTTTGAATTTTTATTGGGATTTTTCGTTGATTTTACTATTTTTGGGATTGACAGAATCCAAGAGAGTTACGAATCCACTAAATAAATTAATTGGAAGTTTGTTTATGTTTGTAATTTTAATTTTTATTCTTCTATGGCATTAATGAACAACGTAATAGATGTGTTAGATTTTGAAAGTAAATTGATCGACGAAATTAAAAAAAAACCTTTTTTGTATCAAAATGCTTCCAAGGGATCTACAAAGATTGGCGAAAGAAAAAGTGCTTGGAAAGAAATTCAGGAATCATTGGGACTACCGGGTAAACAGATTATAAAAGTTTTTCTTAATTTTATTTGAAAGGATTTTATTCATTTTCAGCCGAGGTCTGTAAAAAAAAATGGGAAAGTTTGAAAAATAGCTTTAGGAAATTTCAACGTAAGGCTCTTGAAAAAGGGATTGGTATTAATTGGATTCATTATGAAAATTTGAAGTTATTATTAGAAGATCCAGATATTAGAAGTTCAAAGTAAAAAATTTTTTGAAAGCAGATATATATTTTTACATATTATGTATATTGTACGCATATAAATTTTTAGTGATGTTTTATTACAAACTGGGAAAAAGAATTGTTCAGCCTCAGAACGTGGCGTATCTAAGAAAGACGAAAAGTTTAAAAATTACAAAAAATGTGGTGAAATAATGATTCATAATAAAGAACTGAAATTCATCTGTTGGAAGTGTCAAAGTGAATTCCAAAGTTTAGAAAGTTTTATTAATCACATATTAAAATCACATTTTGATTCTAGTGATAGTAATTCGGAGTCTGAATGCCAATCCCAATCGGAAAGCTGCAATGAAACAATATTAGACAGCAATGATATGAACACTTTATCTAAACAAAATAAAAATCTGAATGAAAAAAGTTGTATAATTATTGAAAATTTTTATACAAAAAATTTGGATTCTAAAGCAGAAAAAAATGAAAAGGAAGGAATTAACGAAAAATCTGCAAATCGATTGTATCACCATAAAAAGTTGCCAAGAGAAGAGAGATTTCATAAATGCGAAAAATGTGATCAATCTTTTAGATATGAGAGTAGCTTGAAAGATCATTTTTCAGTTTGCCACAATGACGAAAGACCAGTAAGCCAAAATATATGAAGAATTTTAATAATGAAGATAAAAAGCTTTAATTTTTATTACAGTTTTCTTGTACGCACGACGGTTGTTGTAAAAAATTCAAAAGTATTCGTACACGTAAATTGCACGAAATATTGCATACAAAAGATTTGCCATTCCAATGCCAATATTGCGGTAAGTGCTTTCCTTCTAATAGTTATTTGATTGCACATAAAAATACATGGCACGTCGATAAAAGCAATAGACGTCATAAATGCCAGTATTGTGAAAAAACATTTTGCGCAAAACAAAAATTGAAATTTCATACATATACTCATACTGGAGAAAGACCGTATGGATGTCCATTATGTACGACCCGTTTTACAAAACCAGCAAGCGTTAAGGAGCACATGAAAATACATTTGGATGAACGAAAATATGTTTGCAAAGCTTGTGGTTCGGCTTTTAATCAGATAGCGAGCTTAATTAAACATAGAAAAAGACACGAGGAAGTATTAGATTAAAATTGGGTAAAAGTAGGGTGTAATTTATAGGGAAAATAAAATAGTTGAGATTTCATTTATTAATGAAGTCTCAAAAATTACAAAAACTTTTTAGTGTTTTTACTTGTTCTTGACCTTTTTTTTGTCTTTCAAAATGCAATTATTTACCAACCGACTTTTTTAAAATTTAAATTTAAAATTTCAAAAAATATGTAGAATCAGTAGAGCCAAAAATATTGAATAATTTTCTTCACACAAATAAATTCTGACACACCTTCCATTTAAACTCCATGCAAATTTGGAATTCATTTTTGATTTGCTCTCTGAGCTTGATGGCCTGATTCGTACAAATAAATAAAATTTTTGTTATTCTCTCTTCACACTAAAAATTTAAAAATGTAAAATACTTATAAGGATATAAAATTAAAACTATTTGCATTTTAAATATGAAAGAACTCGTGTGAGAAGTAAAAGCTAATACCTACATAATGTACATAATGCGAAATTATTTTTTATTTGTAGATGCCGCTATTAATAATGAATTGTTAATGTACATACATAAATATTATTTTTACATACATATTATTTAGGTAAAGTAACACGATACTATTGCATTGTCGAAAAGTTTTTAGAATACTAAGTATTTTTACTACAATTAAATGTTAATTTTTCAGCCCTAAGATAGGGCTTTTTAACCAGTATTTGCAGAAAAGTTCAGAAAATGTGACCATATGAAATGCTCTTTCAAATACCTCATCCAGTCGCATTTCTCCACCTTTATTGGAAATCTCTTTGAAGTTGCAGGTCCTAAAATAGTCCCCAAGAGCCCTAAAAAAGTTCACAACATATAGTTAAATAACTTACTGTTTAAAATGTCTCGACAAGTTGGAAATAGATTCCATGGTTTGATGACAATGATTAAAATTGATATATAAATTATGTATTGTTAAATTAATAAGCTTTCACTCCAACATCCTTTAAGAATAAAGAATTCAAATTGAAAGAAAATGCTATCTTGCGAAGAATATTTAAAAAAGATTTCCAAGAGATGTACGACTTTGGTCTGAGGACCTACATACATATGTACATATATGAAAATTGGTGTTCTGCAAACCAACTATAGACCACCAAAAGTGTAAGCCTTTTATACAAAAATGTGAAATAGTATGATAACACAATTGTTGTTCTTCTAGACAGTTTTTGTGCACCCTTCTTTATTTATCGCAGAGGGTCCCAAACTTTTTCTCTCATAGACCCCTTGTCGTGGTTTTCAATTTTTTTGATGCATTTAAATTTCTAACAGTCGCAAAATACACCTATGATGTGAGAAAGTTAAATAAAAAAACTTATTATTCATATTTTTTAATAGTTAATTGCATATATAAATAATTTTTTATTTATTAAATTCATATTTTTTTATTAAATTTAATTAATTTAGTTATTAAATTTAAATAATTTAATTATTGAATTAAAATAAAAGTAAAGTAATTCTTACATGAACGAAACAAAACAAAAAATAAATTCAATCTTATACATATCACTTGCTTTTTCAGTCAATATTATCACATATTTACTTTTCATTCCCAATTTATTCTACCTTCGTAGGGCCCTAGCAAGTCTTCATAGATCCCTGGGCGTCTATATAGACCACTTTGGGAATCACTGATTTATACCAAGAATATAACAAAATTTGTACGTGCGCTCGCGAGGCTACTAGGACAACTTACATATGAATCATTAAATAGACTTTAAAGAAGTGCTTAAGCAATAAGGAAAATTAAAGTGCCTTTCGGATTAAAAGCTTTCTTTTTTTATTTTACGAATCATATTTTTATTTTTCTTTTAACGTAAAAATTTTCTGTTAAGCTGTCATAAAAAATAACGTGGCATCATAAATACAGTGAAAAAGTTTTACTACAGTTTAATTGCAGTGTTAATACCAAAGCAAACTTTAAAAACAACTGCATTGTAAAAAAAATGGTAAAGTATTTTTTAAGTACAAAATAGGTCATGCAGCAGTTAAATCAAAACAGAATTGTGGCGCAAAAAATCTTAAATATCTTAACATGCAGTCTTATATATGTGGGACATATTTAGTACTAAGTTAGAATTGAATTATCAAAAATGCAGTAAGTTATTTTAGTTCGAAATAAGAAGTGCGAAAGCATTATCAAAAACACCCTTGAAAAGGAATGAATGTCAAATGAATGAATTCTGTTGTCAAATATCTCAAAAATTTATTGATTAGCTATTATTTGAATAACTTTAGTAATTGACATATTTTACTACGATGTTTGCGTTCTTACTGCGACCAAACTCAGTTAAGACCCAATTTTGGCAATTTGGATTTTACTACATGCAAAGTAGTTCTACATTAATATGTACTGCATATGTACTGCAACTTTATTTATATATTTACTTATTATGTAATTGTTGTAAGTATAGTTCATTAGTATTTTGACTCTTGATGCAATACACAAATTACAAATTTTTTGATTAATTCATTACAAAAAGTAAAGAGTGGTTGGTGTCATAAGACCCCTATTCGTTTTTTTTCTTTTTAAATACATTTTTCAGTCTTACTTTTTTGTGTCTATTATTAAGTATTATTCAATTTGCTCGATGTATTTTTATCCCAGTTTTACTGTTTCGAGTAAATTCAGCAAATTGCGGTATTCAAATTATTTAATTAAAAAAATTATTTAATGTTCATATTATTGAAATCCTTAATGTTATAAAACCCTGTTGAATATAATTACAATAACGTATAATACTGAAATAAAAATACTCTTTTTTTTTAGTGAAAAGTCTTTTATTAATAAAAAATTTTTTCTAAACATTATATTTCATAAACCTCAAATCAACGAACTAAGCGAAACGATCATGAACGAGAGAATTTGTCTATCATGTACATTGTTTAACAAACTTATAATTGTACAGTTTTTTCCAAAATTTAAAATAAGTTTTACAAAATAATTAAATACAATTTTTAGCTTGAAAATGTAGTAACATTATAACATATTTAAATAGGAAAATAATTAATATGATCATCCATTTTAAAAATATATACTCTAAGGCACAGAGTTAGTCGCAATAGCAATTGGCCAACTAATTGGCCCTCTAAGGACGTATTCCTCTAAAGTCTGCTTAATTTTTATAAAACGTCGTTTGAATTCTAATCCACAACCTTTTGATAACCTAAAGTCTAGTAAAATTTTATTATCCATTTCAATTATATGTGCCTTAAAAACTAAACGTAATTTTCTTCGGTCAATTGTAGATATTGTTATTATTGAGTCGTCACTCATTTTCCATGTATAACCTAATTTATCAAGTGCTTCCGTCAAATGTTTAATAGATTCATCCCATTTAGTTTTAACAAAGAAACGGGTCATACGTCTGACTAATCTTTGGAATACATTTTGACTAGCTGTTTGTGTTGAATTCATTTGAGAGCATAATATTAAATCATCCAATAATGCTGGCTGTGAAAAACAGAATCCTGTATAATTTGGATTATTTTCATCTCCTTTATTAACAGTACGTCCACCATTTCTATGTATGTCACCATGTTGAAAGAATTCATTATTATCACATTTAATAATTGGCATTGGTTGGGAACAATAATTTCGAGTTATTGAATCATCATATTGATTTGATATATCTAATGTTGAACGTTGTCGTTTGGCTTTTGGTGATATACCATAACTGGTTATATCGATTGATTTAAGATCTGAAATTATTTGTAAAATTTAAAATCAGATAATATTCGCAGAAAATAAAATAATATTTAAAACTATTTTAAATATGTATAAGTCATATGATATATTAATAAAATTTATTTTTTTGATATATTTTTTTTCATTATTTGAAATTGTATAAATTGTAAAAGAAATTTTTGTAGAATATAAAATTTTGTAAAATCAAAAAAAGAATTTAAAAACCTAAAACAAAAAAAAAACGAAGAAAATCAAAATATAACCATTTGGTTTTTGGTAATAAAGCTCTATGGAAATAGTTCTAAACACCATACAGCAAAAATCACCAAAGTCCAAATAGCTAAAAATAATAAATTAAACAAAAATAAAACAAATAAATAAATGAGAAATAAAATATACTAAATAACTAAATACATATGTATTAATATCTTATGCAAATAATTGTTAATTAAATATTCAAATAATTAAAAAAAATATAAATATTAAATTCTATTTATATAGCTTCTTTCTATTTATAGATGTATATAACTTCTTATAAAAATAAAAGTGATCGTAAAATATAAAAATATGGTGTTCTTTTTGCTAGTTAAGAAAAATGGCTTGACCGCTTAATTGTTCCCGACTTCCAATTAATTTGTGAAGGTTCAATCAATGTACTACATCGAAATATATATTTTGTCTGTATTTATACATAACATAATACATATCTATAAAATATCCTTATTTATATATATAAAATGTTATATATTGTATAATAAAATATGTAAATATATAAAATATTATATATTGTAAATAATTTTTTTTATAAAATTTGGTGGATTTCAGGATTTTGTTTAAATTCGTTATATTTGTAAACAAAAATTATTTTTCCCAAATGTCCGACAGAATTGTTTTTTACACTTGTTGATAAATAACATACCGTCAATGCTTTGGTAATCTAGCTTTATGAACTATATATTCTATCATACAGCTAAAGCGCCAAAGCAATGACAATTGTTCTGTTTCGAGTAATAATAATAATTTTTTCTTTTTGAGAGTATTAAAGTACCTAAAAAAATAAAAAAAAAAATAAGATCAAAGATTTATATTTCACGCAATAGAAATAAAATAATATACATGCTAATATTTTTTTTTAATTATTAAATCACGTATGTTCTATCAAAACTTTCAGTTAGGTACCAAGTTACTCGCAGAATATATAAAAAAAAATTAACTGAGAGTCACTTAGTACCTGACCAAAAATTCTGAATACCAATAATTGTTTTTAAAATATAAATAAATTAAATATATCAAGGTCTCTTTAATATCTTAATTTTTTCAAATATTTTATATTTTTTATTGTAACTTTTTTTTAATCCTTCAAACATAAATAAAAATAATGTTGACGAAACAAGTAAACACGGGTATATTTAGAATTAATAAAAAAAAATTTACCTGAATCAGTAAATTGAATTTGACACCATTTATGTTCTAAAATAATATCCAATTTTAAACGGCTTGGTGGATTTACTGATAAAACTTTCCTAAGTAACGAAATCGCTAATGTATCCAATTTGCTCCATGGTGTTGCTGTAGACCATCGATCATTTTCCTTCCAATTCAAAAACTCTTGACAATTTGTTGACGGCTGATCCCATGGTAATTCTGAAATTTACAATAATTTTTTTTCTGTTTTAATTTTTATTAAAATACTGTTTTTTAATTAAATTCTCTTGTTTTATGTACTAAAAACTTATTGTATAGAATTTATTTATATTTACATACATTTTTTTAATTTTTTTTTTGTTTTCAAAATATTTCAACAATATTAATTATGGAATAAACATAAAACAAAAACAAAAATAAAGAAGAAAATAGAATAAATTAAAAAAGATGAAATAAAAATGTTTTATGAAATCTGTAATAAAAATTAAATAAGTAAAAAAAAATATGTGCAGCAAGCAATTTAAGCGGGAGCTTTGGTATTAAAGCTTTAGATGGATTCAAATATAAAATCTACAGCTAGAATACCAAAGAACCTGCAAAAATGTGATGAAAAAACTTGGAACAAAAAATTAAATTAATTAAACAAACAAAAAGAAAAGAAAAATGAAGACAAAACAAAAAATGTAGATATATTTTTTATATATGTATGTATGTATAAAATGTACAAGGAAAAATAATGAAAATTTCGTATTTTTAAGCACTTTTCCAAAAAAAATTTTTGAAAAAAGTGCTTAATATTTTCACTCTGTCCGTCCGTTCGCCCGTGGACTTGTATACAAAACTTCTACACCCTTGAAGATAGAAAGCTGAAATTTTATATGTACATAAATCTTTATTAGAAACAGAAAATTTTTTCCTATCTCACCCCTCCCTTAAAAAGTTATAACCCCCTGAAATTCTAAAAGTGCCATTTTTCAACCATTTACTGCAGTGAAACCATAAGTATTTTACTGAAGTGAAACCATAAGCAAACGCAAATATTGACTGGCTTTTTCTACCGCGGCGTATCATACCTGAACTTTAAAAAAACAAAATGGCCGTTTAACAATTTACCGTTATATGAAGTCTAAATTAATCCAAACGGTATCAAAATTTTTTCTAAATTTTTGATACCATTTTTCTTCTACACCGTACGTTGTGGGAGTCTGATATTTAAACAGCTGTTAGAAACTTATAAATAGTTCATTTCGTTAGAAGAAAAATTTTTTTCTTCTAACGAAATGAACTCTTTAAATTATCGCCACTAGAAATTTGTAAGATTTGGATTTTTGGCACCTTATATTGCTTTTTCAAATTTCTATAAACGCAGAAAACTAACGGTAAACTCTACGCCATTAAAATATATAATTATTTTCCTTAACTCACGCTATTAAATCTTAAAATTGATTGAATACAAAAAGATAGATTGAATACATTGATCATCCTAAAGGTATGAAATTTTTGAAATATATTCGTATATGAATGAAAGTAATGTAAATGTAGTACATCGCTAGTTTGTTTTTAAAAGCAGTATTTTCAATTGTTGAAGGGAAAAGTATCATATTACAAACCATTGGTTTGACCCAACATTATTTTATTTACATACACATATACTTATTTAATATAACTTTAACAATTTCTTTTTTCTGGGATTTCCTATTAAATTTTTTATTCAAAGTAAAAAAAACATAACACATGACACATAACAATTGATTTTTATATACATATTTACATAAAATTTTTTGCATTGCACGAAACTTACATATTCTAATTGCTTTTTTTATATCTAAAAAGTAATAAATATATAAATAAAATATGAATAGCAAAAATATATAAAACGAGAATAGAAAATCAAGAAAGTAAAATGAAGATTGATGTAACATGCAATTTCTATTTTATTTCGAAAAATGGATAATTAAACTAAATATGGATGCGTCTGTTTTAGTCCGATGTCCTTATCGAATATAAAAAAAAAACAATTAAAAAAAATTACATTAAATTAGGACGCAAACGCGTTCTTCTTTCAAAAAAAGGAAACTCAAATTTATGAAAACCAAATCATTTCAGTTTCGGTGATTCAAACAAGAACAAAATTAAACGAAATATTTGTTTAACAAAATAAACTCGAGTCTAATTTTAATAAATAAACTTGAGTATTTTGACTACAAAAATATACATATATGGTTTTTGAGTTGCAACATATTTAATTTGAAAAGTAGAGAAACGAGTTCATTTATGTATTCAATTTCCTCTAAGCCTATTCTTAGACAAAATTGGAAGCTGCGTATGCAATTTGGTGGCACTTCATACACAAAATTGATGCTTTGTTTCTATTGCGTATAAATATTATAAAATTTAAGATTTTATATAAGTTTTTTTAAAATTAAAAAGGAAACAACAATAAAAATTTAACTTTGTTTTTGGCCAGAATGCTCTTTATAACATAATTAATAGAATAAAGTTTAGCATGCCAAAAAATGTAAAATAATCATATATTAGGAATTTTGTTTTAGGCAAATGTTAGCTGTTAAAATATTTATATAAATCTATTTTTCAACTAAGTTTAAAGGTGTATTACATATATAAGCAATCATAACTACATAATAAAACTTTTACACGCGCAAGAAAGTACAAAGTATTATTAATTAAAAATAAACAAAACTAATAGTATATAGAAATTTTTATTATATTATATTTCATATATAATTTATTTTACTTACCACCTGCTAACATTGTAACAAGTATGACACCACACGACCATAAATCAGCTGGTTGTGCATGATAAGGTTTGCATAATACTTCTGGTGCTACATATGGAAGTGTCCCGCATCGTTTGTCCAATAATCTTTCTTTACCTTTCATTCTAAATTTTTTTATAAAAAATTTAAATACATATATGTATATGTATGTAGACATCAATAACATAAAAATATAATTTTTTAATAAATAATTTGTAATATATTATGTAATCGCATTTTCTACTATAAACAAAGCTTATACCATCATACCTAAACATGGTTGCCATGCCAAAATCTGATATTTTAATGTTATCATGCTCATCTAACAGTAAATTTTCTGGTTTTAAGTCTCGATGTGCCACACCACGTGAATGTAAGTATTTAACTCCAGATAATAACTGATTAAAATAACGTTGAGCTTCATGTTGCGGCATACCAATATCTGGCTCTAGAATTAAAAAAACAAAAAAGTGAATGAAAAATTTAATGCATACATGTTTAAATGTTGGTTTCGTAACGATTTTTTAATAATTTTATAAGGTGAAACAAAGAAAAATAAATTCATCCTTTAAAAGCTAAAATTAAGATTTTATAGTGAAATTTTTCGTTCTCCCGACGGATGCATTATAAAAATTGCAAAAAAAAAAAATTTGTTCACATACATACAAATCATTAAATATTAAAGTATCCATCAATAAAGAAACAAAAATCATGTGTAATCAATAATAATATAAAAAATGGAGAAATTTTTAAATTTGTATCAGAAATACAATAGGGACTGGCAAAAAAAACTAAACGATACTATGAAGCTATGGAGAAATTAAACTAAAAGACAATTAGTTGAAAAAAAAGGAAACAAAAAGTAACACAAATTTGTTTCATTAAATTTATCAAGCCAAAATGCAATAAGAAGTTTATGGTTTGTGTCATTAATTATTTGAGTTGTGTACTTCAATTGCTCGTTTTACGAACACAATTTCCAACTTAACGCATCGCTCAATAAGTCCGTAGGATGGCTAATAAAACAATAACATTTTAATATAATTTGATTTTATTCATCAACATAGTCTCTTTTTAAGGCGATATAGTCATTCTTTTCGCTCAAAATATGCTTCAGGCGATACACTATTTATCTTTTCCTTCAAAATATGCTGTTCAATTGTTCCAATAATTCCATGTAATATTCGCTGTTGATCGTTTTACCATTCTCAAGATAATCAATGAACAATATTCCATGGATTTGGGCGGCTTTCATCCGCTGGTGTCCACTCAGCCGACTGTCGATTTGACCATGTTTCACCCATTGTGACGTAGCGACTCAAAAAATTCTTTTTAACACGGTGAAATAGGGCCAGGCAAGCCAGAATAGGGCCAGAATCATCAATTCGTTGTTGTTTTTAGTCCGGTGTTAGCAAACGCGGCACCCATTTCGAACAGAACTTTCTCATACCCAAATGTTCGTGTAATATAGTAAGTACTCTGCCCTTTCATATCTTTTCAGTGTCGGCAATCTCTTTCAATTTTAATTTGCGGTCGAATAAGACGATTTTATGGATTTTTTTGATGCTTTTTTAGTAACTGCCGACCGGAGCGTTCAGCATCATCGGTATTTGTACGATCACGTTTAAAGTCAGCAAACCACTTTTCAACCATTCGCCTCGAGGGAACGGAGTCCGAATAATACTTATGAAGGTCTGCACCGTGTTTTTTATCATAAAAAAACAATGCTTAATGAGAAATACACGAAATTCTGATTTTTTCATTTTTTTTCAATTCACAAAAGTTGATTCAATCGTTCACAACGTTCCCACTTGGATATAATTGTATCCATTTGGATACATTTTTGCTTTAAAATTTAGCTTGGATACAAAGATACTCAAATCTGCTAAAATGACGAAATTGGCTACATTTCAAAAATTTTGCTGAAATATGGATACATTTCTTTCTCGAACACTAAATAAATGTTACAAAATTTTTAAGGTTACTAATATTAAATCGTGAAATTGCTTTATCTTCCAAAAAATATTATTTGCTGACTAAATAAAATTTGCCCGTTTTTACCGCATAGTTCAACAGATAAACAACATATATTTTCTGACCTTAAATTTTAAAATGTAATAGAAATTGCGTGTGATTTCTAAAAAAATTTACTATAAATAACGAAACTCACATTGTTGAATAAAGCAAATTAATATTATTTATGAGTTTATTGGTATAAAATAAGACGATTTAGTATAATAATTCTACTTTAGGAGGCTGGATACATTTTGGAAACATTTTTTTCTCGAAATTGGATACATTTTTTTCTCGAAATTGGATACATTTTTACTTTCTAAAAACCATACGGTATCGGTATTTGTATCGCCATCTATATGTCATTCTACAGACTTATTCAGCGATTATTTAAGTTCCAACATGTAATTCCTTAATACATATATTCATCTTTAACGCTTTATTTACTTCCATGATGCACCAGATTGCTGAACATCTTATTTCTATGTCAGTTTTTATTTTTTATGGTTTTTATAATTAAAATTTTGTGAAACTTTTATTTTACAATTTAATGAATTTAGATAGTAACGCACAAGAAGCAATTTTGTGCCATTTCACATTACTTGACTTAGAATTTAAAAAATTTGCTTTTGTCTAAAAAAAAATTAATCGCATGTATTAAGGCAACAATTTACTTTGTACTTGGTTGCAGAAAAAAAACATTTATAGCTAAATTTAAAAACTATTTCAAAGGATTTTCTTCACCGTTTAATGTCGACATTCTTTTTTCTTTTCGTTTTATATTTTTGACTTCTCTCTATTTATTTTTCGTTTTTTTGTTCAAAAATGCAGCAATTGAACTTATAAAATCTTAGATTCAGAGATCCTTTCTCTTTCTATCCTAACCTAGAATAAAATGAAAAACCATAAAGGACAAATTTTGTTTTTATGACTTTTTTTATATTTCATGTCATACATTTTCATATCGATTTTGCAATAATCGAAGAAGAAAAACTTCTACAAACAAGGTAGAATCATGCAATAGTATGGAGAAAGAAAGGGATAATCAAAATGGAGAAAATGTGTCAGTGAACTTTTTTTCTTTCTTTACAACTATCAAACAGATATTTCGACAACTTATATTTAGGCATAAATTATGAAAAAGTTTTCTATCTTAAAATAAAATTTAAGATTTCAAGGAATCATAGTGTAATGAAGATTATAATGTGAAGTTATATAACACTTTATACAATATTAATAAAAACAAATATATATGAATTTTTGTACACACACACATTATATTGACCCAAAAAAACGAATAATATGAGTTCTAATTTGCTCCATAAGCCATTTTTGAAAATTTTGACTTAAGCTTGGTTTAATAGATTTTGACGAGTGCTCTTTTACGTGATACAAACCGTTTTTTCCTGTTTTCTTTAGTTTGTAAGATATTCGGTGTCGTTTATGCTCCATAAACCACATGAAATTTTTAAACAATGTAATTTATGTTTTTTTAACGCTAAATATATAGGAACGCTCAGTGTACGCAGACTTTTTCTACTAACTGTATATTATTTTGAAAACTGCATAACATACGTTATTCCATAAGAAACATTTACTGTGCAATAAGGACGTGCAAGTAGAACGTTTAAAAAAAAATCAAAATAATTTCGGGAAGTAATATGTATATGATAAGAATGCAAATTATGATCAATATTTTATTCACCTTACGAAAATATTTTGTATATGAATTAATGTTATTGCTTTGTAATTTCAATTACTTCGAAAATATTATTGAAATTTTTAAAATTAATTAACTGTTTACAAAATACTAACACTTAAAATATATAAATATATGTATTTTTTTACTATCCAACAATTGTAATAAGATTTTCTTGTTTATTATAGAAATGTTTTAAATAATATAAAACATTTCTATAATAAACAAGAAGTAACTAAAGCGAAATTAAGTAAGGTATTTGTGGGGTTTACACAAAAGACATTACGATGTTCTTAATTATGATGTTTTTTATGGTTCTTTGTTTCTCAGGGTTATAATTCGTATAAACTGAATATACTACAACCTTGTAAGCAAAATCAAGAGATCAAGAAAAATCGATTCAAGCAACGTTATTATAGCAAAACTAGTGTCATAAATTCTTTTCATATTTTTATTAGATTCTTCATAATATTATATTTTTCAGTATAAATAAACGCAATATTTTCTTAGAATATAAAACCCACTAAATTTTTATTAAAAAAAAACAAAAACATTTATATTTCCCGCTTAAACTATAAACGCTTGTTTTATTAAATTTATCTAAACAAACGAAAAAAAGCACTATTCAATAATAATTTTTAATTTTTCTTTTATTAGATTTAAGGACAATAAAATGAGTAAACGAAAACAACGAAACGACAATCGTTTTTAAAATCAGTTTAATTGAAAAAAGTGCATAATATAAATATATTATTTTATAAAAGAATAACACACAACAATTATACACTACTTGTATCCTCTTTGATAGTTAACTTAATACTTAAATCACTTCACTTTGTTAAGTGGTTGGTTGATGTTAGCAGTCATGCTTATATTTTATTTTCTTTTTTCATCCTTATATTATCTTTATCATGTTCTTTTTGTTAGTTTATATTATATTGATAAAAATGATTGGAATGATAAGTTTTATGTTTATATTTTTACATAACGATATTTTATACATCCATACGCAATGACATATAATATAAAGGAACGTTATGTAGAACAAAAGAATGAAACAAAGATGATATATTGCATCATTTTCGATTATTAATATTTGTGAACATATATAAACTGATTAACTAAACATATAAATGTATGTCGTATAAATAATAATATAAATATACAATATAAAATGTACCTATATTTGATATTCGTGAATATTTTTAAATATACAGCTTATATTACGTACATATATTCACACATACATATAAATTTTTCTTTGTTTGAGATTTACAGTAGCACAAAGAGAACCATAAACACGTTTATTTTGTTATTTCAATGTTTTCTCAAACATAATTCTACACAGAATTTAAAACGGTAACAAAGAGAATCCTTCCTTAATTTTGATCAACTCCCCCTTACAAAAAAAAAATACATACACATTTTCTTTCTTTCATTCTCAGTCGTTCTACCCTCCTGTTTCTTCCAAAACACACTTTCCTTATTTTTCATGATGACGTTTTTCTCTTTTTAATTTAATCTAAATAGAAAAGTTATATAATATTTATTTGTCTTTTGGAAAATCGCGCGTTACTTATTATTTTACATAAATAATAAAAACTAAAAACATGTTCAACAGAAAACGAAACAAAAAATTATAATAATAATAATAATAAAAAAACAGGAGTAGTATATAAGTCGTAAAAATAAATAAATAAAAACAAAAATTATAATAATAATATATAAATAAATAAAATGGTAAGGATTCATAATCATGAATGATTATAGTGAGGATGATACTGATAATGATTGACAATACTGATGTTGATAATACTAATGATTATAATGTTGATGAATTACAATTACAAAAAAGGAAAAAAAATTAATTTTTTTTTCATTCTTTGCTTTTTGTTTTCTTCCTTGTGTGGACCAAAAAGTTTAAATCAAACAAAGAAAAACAAAGAAATTTTTTACTCTATGTTATGTTATATGTTAATGGTTAATACTCAAACCAATGTGGCATAAGTGTGGCATGAATACATAACATATAACAACATACAAATATATTAATATATGTATGTATGTACATATATCTATACAAAACAACTAAAAAGAAGAAAAAAGAGAAAAAAGTAAAAAGAGGAAGAAAGAAGAACATGGATTACATACATATATTAAAAACAGGATATAAAAGTTGATAAATTAAATGTCATGGTTCACTAAGTCTTTTTTTTCGTTTTGGTTATGTATAATTTTAGTTAAAAGCTTATTATAACATTTTATGTACTTTTAATTTTGTGTTTTCGCTCTTTCTCGTTTTTTAAGGACCAAGAAAGAAAGAAAAAAAACGAACAAATTCGAAAATCATCAAAACGAAAAGAAAAAAAAATACATGAGTTTTTTCTTTATTCATTTCGTGTCTTTTTTTCTGTTCAATTTAAATTTTTATTTTTAGTTTTTCATAATTTTTTTTAGCATATTTATAGGGAATGTGTAGTTTGATTTTTTTTTCGGCTGTGAAATAACTTTATTTTGGATTTCTTGTTTTTTCTTTTAAAATTTTTGTCAATTATTAAAAAAATAAATTTTTCCATATGCCTTATGTATGTATGTATTTATATGATCGTTGAGATTGATTTAAAGAATTTTAATTTGTAGGATAACAAAAAATATTTAATTTTTGTTGCAAACTAATTAAAACTAATTAAAATCGAAATATACTTAACGATTATTGTATGTTTTCATTATAATAATCAAAATTTTGTTTATCTTTGATAATTTGTGAGTTTACTTGAGCTTGCATTCAAAAAGTTCTTTATCTATTACCAATCTATGCATTTAAAAAAAAAAGAAAAATAATAATGATACAAAAGCTAAATACGTTAAATAATAAATAATGAAAATGACTGATTATGTAATTGTGTAAAAGAATGAACTCTTATGAACAAATAAAAGATTGAACACTTTGCAAAATCTCTTTTGATTTTCAATTTTAGCGGTTTAATTACAAGTGGTTGAAAATCAAATAAATAATGATTTTATGCCATTATATGCAGAATTGCTATAAATGATGTTATGAAATTTAAAAAAATCCGTTAATCAAAAATTTAATTTTGTTTCCCCCTTCATTTTGACTTACCAATTCGATCAAATAATTCACCACCAGCGGCATATTCTAAAAATATATATTCAATATCGCCTTGTGATCTTTTTCCGAAGTATCTTAACACATGTTGATCTTGTAAAATTTTTTGAATACAAACTTCTTTACGTACGGATAGCACAGCATCCGGATGTTTTTTTAAATCAACCATTTTCATAGCAACTGCTTCACCAGTTTGTCGGTTAATTAGCAATTTAACTCTAAAAAAAATACAATAATTAAAAAACTAATTTGGCGTTATATAATATAATAAAATAAATATTATAATATTTAATGAATGCGTTATATAACTTTCATAATTAATTTGGATATCAAAATGACAAGAAGGAAATATTAAACTTTTAAAAAAAATCAGAAACCCAGATATAAAAACAAAAAAAAAATAGTGGTAAAGAAAAATATTTAAAAATTTTTTTTTTTTAAATTTATTCCATTTAGCTTATTTTCAATTTATAAAAAAAAATAACAAAACAAAAGCGTGATATAGAAAAAAACAGTAGCATATTATTTTATTAGCACACATCAATATACACACAAAAACATACATATGAACAATGAAATTGAGAATTTTTGAATAATTGTGCTGCCAATATTGGCCGTATACTAAAAAAAATATTTAAAAAAAAATAACAAAAATTTAAGAAAAGATACAAAGAGAAGGAAGAAAATAACAATCAATGCACTAGAATAAAAAAAAAAAAAACAAAAAAAATGTTTTTCCTTTTTTCAAGAAAAAGCGCAACAAGGATGCGCAACGGCTGCTGTACTCAAAACTTCTATTCAAAATTGTTAATTTTCTTTTTCCTCAACAATTGTTTTTACATTTTAACTTCTAAGTTTGCACTTCTTCTTTGAGTTCTTTTCTAATAGGTAAAGTCATGAAAAAGCATTTAAACAAGAAAATAATTTTTTTGTGTTTGAGAGAAATTCATCGGCGACGATTATAATTTCGAATTTCTATACTAACTATTATAGTATTTTTTGTGTTATTAATATTCTTTCATTTTTATTTTCTGATATTTTCCACTCTTATTTTTTGTTGATGCTAAAATTAGTAATTTTTTTTGTTTTTTTGCTTTTAATTTGGATACATTTCCACCCCAATTGAACTGCTTATTCTCTCCACAGGTATAAACAAAAACACTGCAGTGATAGTATTAGTGGATGATTTAAGCATATGTACATATGTATATAGAGTTAAAAAAATTGTTTTAAACAGTACTCTTTAAATTTAAAATTCAGTTCGTCATTGCAAGGAAAGGTGTAGTAACTGTTTTAACCTTAACATGACAAAGATCCATATGTGATTAGGTAAATTGTTTAAGATATTATTTCCGTAACGACTTCAGTTTTTAAAATAATAAACAAATATTTATGGAACCTTTATATTAACGATTAATATTTAATTAACTATTGTGCATTGTTAATTATTTTAGTATATTGTAATTAAAAATGAAATACTTCAAAAAACGTATTACACATTAAAGAATGTTAAATATTTAATAAATGAGAAATCAGTCCTGAAGTACTAACGCGCTCTTGTCATTCAGACCTTGATGGTACAAAAAGATAACAAATAAACTGCAGGTCTTTGTAAACAAGTTTTTAGGTGCTATCTGAAAAATATAAAAGCAACGCCAACTCTTGGGGCCTAATTAAACAAGAAAAAATATTGGTGGCTTTAACAATAAGATGAATGAAATTTGGTTGGATTGGGCACACTTTGAGGCGTCCACAAAAAACAATTGCCATACAGGTACTAGAGTGGAACCTTCAAGGATTGGAAAATAGGTTTTGGGTGCCCAAAAAATAGATACCGTACAACTATAATCAAAAAAGTTATCTACATGTGAGCAGAAATAAAAAATATGGCCCAAAGCAGAATTCCTATGCTGTCACAAGGAGTAAAGATGGAAGAAAAAATCCTAAAACGAGTTTTCAGAATTATTTTTTTTTTAGTTACTAGGGATAATGAGAGTAAGTACAAAATTAAACAAATTTTTTTAATTCTAAAAATCAAATTTCATAATCTAAGAAGTTTATGCGCGTTTTTGGAGCCCCTGTTATAAATTAGTATAATATAGTTTTTATTTAAAGAAAAAGAAAAACAAATAACTGATTTGTAATAACCTTTCACTTACTAACACTGATTAATATATCTTTGTATAAAATTATATGCATATGTGCATATGAAATTTATTTAATCTTGCATGTATGTACTATGTGTATAGGTAAATATTTGAGAAATAACAGAGAGAAAAATATGAAAATTCCACTTTTCCATTTTTTTTACCAATAAGATTTTTCTTTTCTTTTTTTTATTTTCTTGAAAATTTTTTTAATTGCGCATGCTTGAAATTTTGTTATTAAAATTTATTTGTAATAAAAAAAAATAACAATAAAAATGAAAACACAAAAATTAGTCCTTTCTGAATCTCTTTAAATTACATAAAAATTATTTTGCCGGCAAAATTATTAGGAAATTATTTTTGGAAATTACTGTATTGTATTTTATGCGGTATATGTTCAAAATAACAACATATAAAATGAAAACAATATAAAATATAAGAACAGAGTTACCAATAAGTAAAATACTATAATTTGGCATTTAAAAATAATTTTAAAAATTGAATTTCGAAAGAGAGAAAGAGGTACGTATAAGAAAAATGTATAAAACAAAATTTTTGAACTTGTGTGAATTCGTAATTTTTGGTTGTTAAATTTTAAAACGATTTCAAACAATATGAAAAAAAAGTAATAGTAAAAATGTAGATTCTAGTTTTGAACATATAAATTAAAAATGTTCATTTATACAAAGTAAATTTCGTAATTTTTAATATAATGCTTTTATATTACTTACATCTGCATAAAAAAAAGTTCAACAAAATTGAAATAATTTATTAATCACTATTAAGATATGTTATTAGCAAATCAGTTTCAAATTCTATATAATATTCTATATACTGATTATACACTTTTTGCTTTTTGAAAAGAAAGCCAGTTAAAACGAGAAAAAATAGAGTTGATCCTGTCAACAATAAAAATGAAAACACAAAAATTAGTCCTTTCTGAATCTCTTTAAATTACATAAAAATTATTTTGCCGGCAAAATTATTAGGAAATTATTTTTGGAAATTACTGTATTGTATTTTATGCGGTATATGTTCAAAATAACAACATATAAAATGAAAACAATATAAAATATAAGAACAGAGTTACCAATAAGTAAAATACTATAATTTGGCATTTAAAAATAATTTTAAAAATTGAATTTCGAAAGAGAGAAAGAGGTACGTATAAGAAAAATGTATAAAACAAAATTTTTGAACTTGTGTGAATTCGTAATTTTTGGTTGTTAAATTTTAAAACGATTTCAAACAATATGAAAAAAAAGTAATAGTAAAAATGTAGATTCTAGTTTTGAACATATAAATTAAAAATGTTCATTTATACAAAGTAAATTTCGTAATTTTTAATATAATGCTTTTATATTACTTACATCTGCATAAAAAAAAGTTCAACAAAATTGAAATAATTTATTAATCACTATTAAGATATGTTATTAGCAAATCAGTTTCAAATTCTATATAATATTCTATATACTGATTATACACTTTTTGCTTTTTGAAAAGAAAGCCAGTTAAAACGAGAAAAAATAGAGTTGATCCTGTCAACTCTGTCATACCCGTACGAATTTGTTATCCTTTGTGCGAATAAATGTGTCATGCACTGTCACATGCAGTGTCATGCAGTGTCGACAAACTATGACTTTAAGTTGCCGTACTACCATATTAATTTATGTAAAATTTCAGTACTGTGTTTTCAAGATTTTCTAAGATATGACCAAACTATTATTGAAGGTGTATGGTTGCTACCACAATGAGTCAAGAAATTTCAATGATTTTTATCACACATAACAACCCTAATAATGCACTTGTTTTCACGAGATTTATATTATAACTCCAATAATTTCTGAGATAATGCCAAATAACTTTTGGAGTTGTATGCCTGCTACCAGAAAGAGCCAAGCAATTTCAACGATTTTAACAAACATATTGGCCCCATTAATATATTCGTTTGTTTGAAATTTTAATATAACAGGTTTTATATTTTCTGAGATATAGTTAAATAAATTTTGAAGTTGTATGGCTGCTACCCGAACCAGAACCCCGATCATGTCCAATTAATCAAAATAGATTTCTGGCACTTACTACAATAAATCATTTGTGAAAATTGGTGAACTTAGTTTTTGAGTTATTGCTGGGACGGACGGACGGACGGACAGACAAAGCTATATCGACTCATATCTGAGTCTATATTTCAGACCATTATTTCTTAGCGTTACAAACGGTAAGGCAAATTTAGTATACCCTTCGAACATACGTTGGTACGGGTATAAAAATGCAAAGTTACTCTAAATAAACTTAAAAGTTTTACAATTCAAGTTCATATTATATTAATTAGTATTAAAAATTTTGTTGTACAATACTTTTATACAGATATATAATCATTAACAATTTATAAAAAAGTTTCTGTTATTCTTCTAGTTTAAGAAAGAAATATTATAAATTCAAAAAATTTCTGATAATTTTAGATCATATAGAACAATATTTTTCTAACAACAAAATTTTAAGACGCTCAATGAACTATGTGAACATAAAGAAATTAAAATGAAAAAATAAAAAAAAATTAATTCCAAAATTTTAGTTTTTTTTTCTTGTAGTGATAGTATAAACTATGAAATTAAAAGTTTCCTCTTTAATCCATGTGATGTTGAATATGTTGAATAAATTGTGATTCAAATTACGAATATTCATGCTTTCATATTTTAATCTTTATCGGGCGTTGTATTTTGAACGAAGATCTGTTAATTCTTTGCAATAAAAGCTAAATTTTGAACTATTGAGAGTATGAAATTATTTCATACATATTTTAAATTTAAAACAAAAGCAGTTTCAAAAATTTCTTTTTAACCAAACTAAATTCAAAAGGATGTCATTTCTTTCCTTTTACCATATAAATATATGATACAGATTTTTTTAACATGCAAAAAAGATGATAATTTTATTGTGTATTATGCTTAACATATCTTTTTAAAACTATAAAACATGCGTTCATAAAATTGTATTCAATTTATAATATGAATCAAAAAAAAATTGAAAATTTGGTTCGTTTAGTTTATACACAAGTACTGGTGTCA